TCGCAGCGGACCGGCATAAGTTGGAATTTATCCCAATGCAACTCCATGCCCAGTCTTGCCCCAGCATTCGCAATTTCCCCCAGTAGTGCTTGCAATTGGATTTGATTGCGGCCCACCAGCAAGGCGTCGCCAGCATATGACGATATAGCCAGCGACCCTTCTTCGAGACCCTGTCGTATTCCAGCATCTGCGTGGCGCGCGGCATCTTGAACAGTCACCGTCATGATCATGATGAAAAAGAAAGGTGAGAGGGGGCACCCTTAAGATATCCCGGATAATTGACGTCTTTCTGAAGATTTATGGCGCCCATCTGCAACGCAAAATCGCCTGCCCCCGTAGATGTTCCCAATAATGTTCAGAACGCGCGGAGGGACTCCAAATTTCCTCATACCTTCAAGCAGCGTCCCAACGTTAAGTGAATCGAAGGCTTTCTTCCAGTCCAGCGCCGCAAAAGCTGCGCCCCCATCTTTGTCGGCGCGCGCCAATTCAATATATCGGCGAACAGCGCGCATAGCATCTGATGTCCCACGCCCCCTTCTGAAACCGAACTGCGCGGTGGATAGTCGGTCTTCTGCTCCAGCATCCTGCAATCGCCGTGATATAAGACTTGCAATAAGTTTGCGCGCAACGCAAAGCAAGCTAATGGGCCGGTAGTTGTCGCAGTTGTCGACGGCGCCTTTGTTTTCGCAAACCGTAGAAATTGCAGATTTCCCCCGCTCTTTAGGCACCGCCTCCGCTTTCCAGCACTTGTTGCATAGGTCGGTTATCCACTCCAGCCCGCCAGGGTCCGTAGCGATTGTTTTCCAATACTTTGCTGGTGTATCATCAACTCCAGAGGCTTTTCCCCGCTTCAGCTTACGCATTGTTTTGCCCACTTCGTCTGTCGTAAAATCTGCTTCCAAAACTGGCAGCGGCTCAGCAATTGGATCGTCGTCAAGCAGCTCCGCAGGCCGTATCTTCCATCGTGCTTTCTCCAAGTGCTCTGCCATAGTTCCAGCTCTTTGCGTATTGTCAACCAAATCCCCACCCGTACTTCTTAGCCTTCCTTGGCGGCGCGGCTTGGGCCGGCAATGTCTTTTGAGAGCGTCCCAGTTGCCACTTGAGATTTCTTTATCGCTCCAGATGGTCTTATCTTGCTTGCATGACTTACGTACTTCCTTCAACCATCGCTTCTCTTCCTCTTTGCCATTTGTTGCCCGTGCCTCGCTGCGACGATGCATGAGGTCAAGTGCGGTTTGTGTGATCCATGGTTTGGAAATGTCTTTGCGGCGATGTGGGAAAGTATTAGCTGCCAGTTGCACTGCTGTTTTACCTCTCCCCCACATGTCTTGTAAATCGACCGGCGGGTCCATGTATGAAGTGACGCTTCCCATGAATGTATCCACGCATGTATGCAATACTCCTAGATCTTCCATTGCATGTCTGTTTGGCTTCCTCGTCGAAGACGTTGTCTGTGCTTCATGTGGTATCGACATCTTCGCGATCACCAGATCGTGGTCAGCGCCGCTTCCCGGTGGCTTCGTAATGGCGCGATCTGTTGACGCACCGCAGCTTCGCAAAGTACCAGGTCCACCATGTTATATTTATCTTCTGAGATTTCCCCCATTGGTAAAGCTCCCGCTTCCATGAACGTAACTTTATCTTGCAGCGTCTGTTGGTAGAAAGTGTTCGCAATTTGTATATCCACGCTGGTGCAGAATTCAATCATCAGTTCCCGGTCTGGTCGTTCAACTTCGCGTTGCGCCCGCCGCCCCCATCCAAACTCACCCAATATAGCATCTCCCCCTGGTTGTGCCTTCCCCATTCTGGCATTGAAGTCGCCAGTGATCAGCTTGCCCACGTTGGAGTTGCAAGATCGGCGCGTGGAGTCCAGCATCGTGTAGAAATGTCGTCTTTCGGGGGGCGGCTTGAGGTTGCGCGGGGCGTACCCGGTAATCATGGTCATCATCCCCATGCCAGTTTTTATCTTCAACCAAGCCAGTCTATCAGAAATCTGTGTGTAGGATTTGATTCTATTTCGACATGCAGGTGCAATGATAAGCCCAACCCCTGTCCAAGTTTGCCCTTGTATATCTTCGCCTGAGAGAACAACTTCGTGCCCATTCACATCGTAGATGTCTGCCTGTGGTCGGTGGGTCTCTTGTGCAGCTAAAGCGTCAATGCCGTATGTATCCATGTGTAGAATAATCTCCTCGATCTTCGTCTCGGTGAGGCCTCGAACGTTCCATGTCGCCACTGCGATGGGAATCGAAGCGGGGGTGGGAAGGGGAAGGGCGGGCGGGGGCGGGGGCGGGGGAAGGGCGGGCGGGGGCGGGCGGCGCAGCTTTGGGAGCCTGGTGGCATCTTTGCCCACTGCGGCCGAAAATGCGGTATAACTCGTAGGTGAAGATGCGGAGGACCCGGCAACAGGTTCGAGCACTGGTTCGTTCTGAGCGTCTGGCAGTCTCCGTGGTTGATCGGCATCCTTGTCCGAATCGCTGTCCACATGGAGCTCCGCGTACCCCGAACGCAGATTTGAAAATATCTGTCTCTGATTCTGGGAAGTATGAGGAGGCAACTTGTATGAGGGAGGGAATTGGCCGGCTCCGGCGCTGGTTGGAAAGGAACTCCGACGGGTAGGATGGCCCAGCGCCTGCCGTACTTCCTACTTCCCATTGCTTCCTTTCGATGTTCCTTTCGCTCCTCCTTTCATCCCCATCGCCGCCCTCTGCAAAATAGTATCGCGTTTTTACAGTAATTCCTGAAGTTTCGGGTTACTTTGTAGCTCGTTCCAGTCTGCCCATTCCTTCTCCCGCATGCGCTCGTTCGCGTTGCCATCGACGTTTGCTGTCAGAGCTAAATGCCCGCCCACATGCACTTGATATGGAGCTTTGTCTGAGATTTGTATCGTATATGTGTTTTGCATGTCTTGCTTCAGGATGTATTTTAAACCAAAACACAAATTGCGAGCTGCCCGTTCTGCAGGTTCCCGGTCTGGTGTACACCATACCGTATTGGATCCACGTTGAAGTTTTGCGCTACGTAGCTGTGCAACTGCCGTGTCCCGGTCGAGCATCGACGCGAATATGATATTCTCGAACTCACCTTTCGAATGCACGTTTGTAGAAATCGGCCCGGATAGCTTGTTGAATTCGTCCCGTATGTATGCGGATGCGGCCTCAAGCGACTCGAAGTTGTCCAGGTTACCGATTACTGCCGTGACTGCGCGTTTCCCGTGATAGTGGTACTCGTTCGCCGCATGCTGCGAGAAGTTTGATGCCGATCTCGGTGTAGTATGTCCCATTTCTTTGGTAATTGATTCAATGTGCTCTTCCACTTGTTCTTTCAACGTGTGTTCCAAGTTTGTCATGCGTATTTGAATGTCTTCAAAATCACCTTCAATATCTTCAATATTCGACTCTATATTTGTGATGCGTATGTCCACATCGTTGACTGTGTTCTTCAACTCTTTTACCTCGTACCCGACACTGCGAACTACACGCATAGTAGGGGCCAAATGTTTTTGAACATCTTCCTGATTGACTTCATGGTCACGGGCTCCTCGTCCTCTTCATCGTCATCGAGGTCGTCCTCGCCCGGTAGTTCTGCGGGTGATCCGGGTTCTGCACTGCTGGCGGGTCTTCTGGAGAATTCCAGTTGACGTGGTCCTCCAGCAGCGCCTTCTGGCAGCCGGCAACATAAGCGCATCCATTCGAATTAATTCGTGCAGCCGGCAACATAAGGGAAGCGTGCTAGCCTTCGTGCTTTGTGATGATCTAAACGATACGCGTTGGTATCATGCTTCACTATTTAATCTTCCACTGCAACTGGACTCGTCCAACCACGCGCCGTCAGCGAAATAATGACGAGACAACAGATAACGCAATGACTTATTACCTTGATCAAGACACACTTTTGCAAATATCGGCGAACTATGTCATTCCACTCGGATTTTGACACCCCCAAGGGATCACCGCAAAAACACTAGCTACCTTGTGCCAAATCCAGGACCCGCAACTCCGACCAGCAACACCAGCGAAACCATTCCGAACAAACTTTGAGGACCTTCAGCTGCACCACTGTGTGACTTTAGATCGCAGTCTTTATCGAATGTGCTACGTACACCGCGGTGGAAGTGCCGGAACGTGTGGGGGGGGGGGGGGGGGGGGGGAGGGGCGCGATGCGAAGATTACCAGATATGTTTAGAAGATGCAGCAACTTGTAAATCAGCAAATCGTAGAACCTCACAATCCTGGCGTTGCTCATCGTTCTGAGACTGATGCGGCAGTACATTTGCTTTCATATTTTACCGATCTCCACCCCGACAGTATACTCTTGAACATCGATGGTGTACGAATACACATGGCTGCGCTCGGCTTGCACTGTCTGACCCAAGAGGGCGAAAGACCCAGAGAGCCCCAAGAGGCCCCGCAGACGGCCCAAGGAGGCCCCGAGTCGCCGAACGATGGCCCCAGGACGCTCAAAATGGCCCCCAGGCGGCCCAAGAGGCCTCCAGAACGCCTACAAAAACCCCCAAGGGCGCCTCCCAAGAGGGCCCCAAGAAGAACCAACATCTTTTATTTTCCATAGGTTTTTGAAGGATGCTTGGCGTTCTCGCCTTTTTGGCTCCCGGACGCTCGCAAACGGCCCCAAAACAGCCCAAGAGGCCTCCAAAAGAGCTCAAAACGGCTCCGAGGGCCAGAAGACAAGCCAAAAGGCGCCCAAAACGGCCCAAGAGGGCCCAAGACTGCCCAAAACGGGTCAAAAGAGGGAACACGAACCGACAATCCGAGCCTTCCGCACCGAAAACTTCCAGGAGGCCCCAAGAGGCGCCCCCCCAAGAGGCCCTCAGACGGCCCCCAAGAGGAGTACAAACTGCCTCCAAGAGGCCCCCGAGAAGCCCCCCACGAGATCCCAACGAACATCCAATAAGCTTCACACCCGCAGCCCAGGCACGGTGGCGGGATGGACCGAAGGCCAGTCGATATCAACATGACGAGGCTGGGCTTGCACTTTTTTTTCTGTACGAGAACGGCGCCCATGCACATGTCTGGACTCCGTTCAGGTCCCGCTCCAACACGGTACGGGGCAGAAGTCGTTCGGCTCCGAGGGCCGTAGAGCCATGATCTGGTACCAGAAAACTTGTTTTAGGAGGCCCAATAACAGAAACATCAGCGCGGTAACTACGGCCCCGTCAGGCGAAGGTCGCTACACCATCTAAGGCCCTAGTGGGGTCAGGGCCGTGCGCTTCCGACTGGACGCGCGAAAGAGACACACGCTCCGCACATGCCGCTGGGGAATGCATTACGTCTTCGTGGTCGTCCTCCCCCAGCAGACCTCCAACGGCAAACCCTGCTCGTCCCAAATGCTTCGCGTAGACATTTAAATACAAATGGCCACCGTCAGTACGTCCATGAACGACTTTCAGCTGAACCGGACCAAACGCAACCCACTGCGGAATCTCGACTGGACTTTGAAATGCGCGGTAATGATACCCTCCCACTTGTTTGGCCTCTGCCCAAAATCCTGTGATGTTCACTTCTTGGAAGTACATGCAATCTTGAACGGACACCCCTCCCAGGGCGTGGGTCCCAAGAGACTCGGAACGGCGTCAGCCTAACGGAAAAAGACAGCTGGCGTGACGAGGACTTTCATTTCTTTTTACAGCGCCGGAGCTCAGGCCCACACCTGAGTGCACTTGCGATGGCGGCTGACGGCAGAGCTGAAACACTGAGAGCCCCTGGCCCACGCGGCCGAGGAGCTCGAGAAATCTGACAGTCTGGCCAGACCGAAAATCAAACCCGAATTCGCAGAAGTCCAAGCTACTTTGCCTTCCACTCCAGCGTTTCCCTGGGTGGGAAGGGCGGGGCGGCAGAAAGGCTTGAGGGGAAGAGGCAGCGGGAGGGGAGAAAGCGAATGCACAAGCGATGAGACCAAATGCAATGCAATCTTGAACGGACACCCCTCCCAGGGCGTGGGTCCCAAGAGACTCGGAACGGCGTCAGCCTAACGGAAAAAGACAGCTGGCGTGACGAGGACTTTCATGTCTTTTTACAGCGCCGGAGCTCAGGCCCACACCTGAGTGCACTTGCGATGGCGGCTGACGGCAGAGCTGAAACACTGAGAGCCCCTGGCCCACGCGGCCGAGGAGCTCGAGAAATCTGACAGTCTGGCCAGACCGAAAATCAAACCCATATCAAACGCTGGAGTAAATCCCGTATCGGCTCCATTGGCTTGCCGAGGGAACACTGCAGCAGGCTGAGCGCAGAGAGGCACCTTACGAGAGGAAGGACAACTGCAAGGCCTCAGCACGCTTAGCCTCTGCCTTCGCAGCGGCCGAGAGGCGTCTGAAAGATGCAAGAGCACGGCCGCTCTTCTGATAGCGCTGTACAGAACGGAAGCTCGACCACCTGCCGCGAGACTGAATGTCGGCCAGCGAACGGGCGCCTCTCAGGTAGTCCTCCGACGGACCGCCGTGCCGAGGGAGGTGGGCTGTCACCTTGGTCGGGAGGCCGACGGCGACGGCGGCCTTCTTGAGCAAGCGGTTGTACGAAGCGTACGAGTGGAGGAACATGAGGCGCCCCTGGCGGGCTTGGTTGGCGCTCTTGACGAGGGCCATGAGTGCGCCAGCCACACCCGCACGAGACTGGCCATCGATGAGCACGGTGTCGTCCTGGAGGCCAGTCTTGGTGACGCGCGTGTGCACGTCGTCGCCCATGACCAGCGCGGAGGCACCGACGACGAGCCCCATCTTGTTGTATCCTGAGCTGGCACTCGGCTGCGGCAGGATGCAGCAGGGCACGCGGAGGTCCAGCAGTTCACCAGGGCGCAAGTACGTGTCAAACTGCACCACCAGGCCGCGGGCGGCCTGCAGGGCAATCTCCGTGTTGAGGCCGGCCAGGTACAGGGCCATCAAGCACGCTGCCGCCCAGCAGAGCGGCTCCGAGGTGACGTCCGGCTCGAGCTTGCCCCAGCCGGCGAGGGCGCCCTTCGCCTTCGGGAAGACGCCTGGGGCACGAAGCGACACGCTGAAACGGTAGGCCAAGGCGGCCAAGGTGTAGCGGGCCGTGCTCTTGCTGCCGCCGTCGACGTAGAGCTGCTCGAAGTACTCCTCGAGGAGCGTGTCCACCAGGGGGAGGTCTTTGCTCACCCAGCGGTCGGCGACAACGCCCATGGCCGTGGCGAACGCGACGACGCTGGCGAGGTAGCGGGCCTGAGTGGCCGGCCGCACCTGCGAGCGCCGCAGGAAGCCCGGCGAGGAGTCAGCAGGCACCTGGCGGGCCCGGGCAGCCGACGCCCGGCCTCTGCCGAGGCTTCGGCCTTGCCCGCGGCCGCGGGAGGCCGACGAAGCGGCCCCAGCCCTCGGCGTCGCGCGGCCAGAGCGCGACCCACTTCCGCGGGCAGCTGGGGCACTCGAGGGACGGCTGGACGTCGTCCATCTTGGCTGCACGGCGGAGCTGAGCCTCCCAGTGACCGGGCAGCAGTGGATCCCCATCTGGTCGCCAGGCTCCCGCGGGCGCCGCGCGCGCCAAGGCCCGAGCGGCGCTGTGGCAGACACCAGGAGGGTAGGCGCCAGCCAGGGTCGTGCGCCAGAACTGCTTGAGCCGACCCTGGCGATCACGGACCTTGACCTTCCCCTGAAGATGCTCGTGGGCATGACCTCCAAGACAACGCCTTTCAAGGATACCGAGCTCGGGGAGGTCAGACTCAATCCTGGTGGGCTTCTGGTACGGGGCTCCAAACTGACAGCAGTCATACACCACGGAGACCTTGCTATGCTCGGACAGGAACTTCTGGAGAGGCTCCCAAGAGAAGAGCCGGGATCCCCGGGGGTTCTCGAGGGACCACCTGACGCCGAACTGAACGCACAAGCGAAGTAGACGAAGAGTGACATGAGCACACCGCCGACCGGCGCGTATAGCAGACGTATCATTGGCCCCACGGCGAGCAACTGACCACGGAGTGCACGGAGTCCCGAAGTGCACGAACCAGACCTTGCGAGAGACGATCCACTGGCGAACGACGGTCTCGATGCTGGGCCGAAGCAGGTCGCCCCAACCCCCGAACTTGATGTCGATCGGAGCCGCGACAGCCAGACCGAGCTGCGCGAGAGCCCCCGTCCAGCGAGCCCCCCCCGAGAAGATCTCGAGAGCCGCCCGACGTCCACGAAGCCGAGGTACAGGTGCACGAGCCGGCTCGACCGCGACGAACGGCGTGGGCGGAGGGGGCGGCAGCCCGGGAGGCTCTGTCGTCCATTTTCGGCCAGGCCGGGCATGCCAACGAAGGCTCCCGAGGGCAGGCGGCCCGCGCGGCGCGCTCCCGACGCGCGTGCGCGGCCCGGAGCGGCCCAGACGTGGCGGGGCCCGCTCGGAAGAGAAGGGCCGAGGCCCCGGCACGAGTCTCCGTCCAACTCGTCCGAGGGCCCCAGCAGGCCGCGGCGCAGGCACTGGCCGCGGCCGTGGGCGGCGCCCGCGTGGGCAGGCCGCCGGCGGCGACAGGTCGCGGGCCCCCTCGGCCTCGTCGAACGTCGCCTTGCGTGCAGGGAGGCCAGGGGCGCCGGCTGCGGGCCCCTCTTGTGGCCGTGGGGCGCGCCGCGGCCCGCAGCGGCCAGCAGCCCCAGGAGCCCGCGGCGGCGGCCGCGGCGGGCAGGTCTGCAGTCGGCCGCCGCGCAGCCGCGCCGCGGGGGGAGGCTCGCAAGCCTCCTCGGCGACTGGCCAGCTGGCGATCGCCGAGGGCGCCGGCGGGGCCGGCGTCGGGGGCGCCGACTGCGGGCATCCCGCGGGCAGCGCGGGCCTCTCCGACCTGCCGCCAACCCGCCGCTGCCCTGGGCGGTAGACGCCCTGCAGCGCCTTCCTCGACCCCGCGTCACTGAGGTTGCGGTCCGTGTCGAGGTGCCGGCGCCGCCAGGAGATCCCGCAGGCGATCTGGTAGGCGGCGGCCCTCCGGCACAGACAAGCGAGGCCGAGGTCCACGGCTCGCCCCTTCTCGATGGAGAGGAGCTCCGACATGTTGTCGCCCAGGCTGAGCACTCGGGAGCCGTGGCAGTCGACCTGCCGGGCGGCGTGCCGCAGGCCCCCCAGGGCGATGCGGCCCTCCAGCAGGTGAATGGGGGCCCCGCGGCGCCAGGCGCCCTCCACGATGAGAGACCAGTCCCTGGGATCGACGAGGCTGTCGGGCACGGAGACGCCAGCAGGTCGCACAGTGGGCCTGAGACGGCCCTTGAGCACGCCTCGGGCGCCCTCCCTCGAGCGCGTCGGCGGGGGGGCCCAGACGGCCGCGCCTGTGGCGCCCGGCGGCTCCCCCAGCACCCCTCCAGCGCCCGGCACCCAGCCCGGGGGGAAGGTGTCGTCGAGCGCCGCGTCGGGCCGCTTCTCGTCGGGGACGAACCTCCACCTCTCCCGGGTAGCAGCCAGCTGCCGAAGGAGTCGAACGTCAGCGCGTCGGCGGTGGAGGGCGTAGCCTGCCTCGGACGAGTCGGAGCACAAAACCAGGGAGGACATCGGCCGGTCCAAGAAGACGACGGCCTGGAAGATGAGACCCCTGAAGAGCTGGATCTCCCGGCGGGCCCCAGCAGACAGTGCGACTGGAGGCCCCTGACCCTGCGCGTCCACGAAGCGGTAGAGCAGGCGGAAGATCGAGAGGGCCGGCCGCAGCAGCAGGCAGTGCTGCACACAATGCCCGAGGAACACTCGGATCTGCCAGGCCGCGCGCGGAACCCCAGGGCGCTCGAGCTCCTGACAGGCCAAGTAGAGGCGCCAGGCTCGGTGATCGGAATGACGCAGACGCCTCCGCCTCCCGTCGTACTCGACGCCGACGGTGGTGAAGTGCGTGGCCGGGCCCTCGACCTCGTGGTACGCGATGCCGAGCGAGTCGAGCTTGTCCTTCGCGGCCTGCAGCGCCTGCCCGACGTCGTCGCTCGAGAGGCCCAGGAACGAGACGTTGTCCACGTAGACCGACCCGGCGGGGCGGAAGGGTGCCGCGACGGGAGCCGGCTGCTTGTCAAGCAGCAGGCGTCGGGCACCCCCCGGCAGCGTGTCAGAGACCCAGGACGTGACGGACGAGTGCACGGCCCAGCGTGCCCATGACCACCCCATCGGCACCCCGCGGAAGACCGGGAACACGAGCTCGTCGGGGTCGACAGGGGACAGGCCGTCGGGCGTCCAGATGTGGGAGACCTGGTAGTAGGAGGCCCGCTCAGGAAAGTCCATCCCGAAATCCTCCGCGACGCGCTCCGAGAAGAACTGGTAGAACGAGTCCTGGAGGTCGAGGGACGACCCGAAGATCTGAGCAGGCGAGCCATCAGCACTGACCCATCCGGCGTCCGAGAGCGCAGCATCAGACCAGTCCTGCTCGCTGAGGGCAGCCGGGGTCCCGAGGGCGGCATGCGGGGGCGCCCAGTGGGCGCGGTTGGTGTCGCGAGCGTCGACGACCAGGCGGATCCAGCCGCCCTTCTTCTCGACGAAGAAACACCCCACGCGTGACCTGATCCGCCTCCGGAAGCCGACCAGCCCCCGCCCCGCGAGCCTGAGAAGGAAGTCCCGCCGAAGGCCGGCGTCGCTGGCAAGCCGCGCGTCCCAGTGCGGCTTGATCGGCGGCAGGAGCTCGAGGTCCTGCTCCACCACGCGGTCCGGCTTGCGGATGTAGGCGTCGGGGTCGCGGAAGGCGTCGACGACGAACTTGGGGCAGACCTCCTCCACGTCTCGAGGCGTGACCGAGGACTGCCAGAACTTGAGCTTGGACTCCTCGTGCGGGACGACCTTGGACGGCGCGCCTCCGTAGAGCGAGTCGGACTTGAGGAGCTCCTGAAGGGCTCCGCGAGGGTGGAGATCTGCCGGGCGAGGGCCATACTCCGCCACGCAGCGGCCGAGCTGCCGGCCGCGCGAGGACGAGGTCGCCGTTCCCGAAGTCCCTGAATCGGCAGCGCCACCTGGCCCGCGGCCACGATGGCGCACCGTGCAGGCGGCGAGACAGTTGATCGAGTGAACTGCCTCACGAACACGGTGTTCACGAGAGCGTCGCTGGAGCACCCGCTGGCGCAGGTACCGCGGCGCCCCGCTGAGGTCGACCGGCGGGCCAGGCCCCGGGACCGAAAGCGGCAGCGGGTCCCCGTGCGAGGAGCGTGATCCCGATGCCATGGGGAGGACGAGGAGGCGGCCGCGGCGGAGGAACCCGCGGCGGCAGCCAGGCAGGGCGGGGCGCCGCAGGACGCCCAGCCCAAGGAGGGGGCCGGCCGGCCCCCTGCTACTTGCCAGCGTCGGCCCCGCCGCCCTTCGGCCCCTTCGGGGGCGCCTTGGGCTGCGCGGCCGCCCTCTCCTCCTGCCACTGCCGATTCGCCTTCATGGTCTGGGCGCGGGCACGCGCCTGGTCGCCAACCCATCCGTCGAACTCCGGCAGCACCATGCCGCCCGTGTCGTCGACCCCCGTGTCGAGGATGAGGTCCAGCCCCTCGAAGTCGGGAGCCCGAGGGTTCTTGCGGGTCGCCGACTCCAGCTGCTTGAGCCGCCTGACGAGGTACTCCGCGCCCGCGATGTTGAACAGGTCGAGCTGATCGAACTGCTGCATCATTCGAAGAGACACGCAGATCATGTGGTGCTCGCGGGCGACGTTGCCGCGCTCGGCCACGCCGCTGCGTCGGAGCCACGTGGTGTGGTGCTCCTCCCAGTTGCCCTGACCCCCGTCGCGAAGGGAGAGCACAGCCTCCCTCGTGGCACGGCGGCCCTGCAGAGGCCAGCCCGGGATCGTCGCCTCCTTCATACGGCGGACCGAGTCCCGGAAGTCGATATACCTGCCTCCGCCCTGGTCCCTCTCGTCGCCCACGACACGCGGGTCCGGGCCCGCGCCCCCGCGAGCTCGGGCCAGGTACGTGTCGAAGTTCTGGCCCTCGCTCACCTTGATCGCGTGGACCCAGACGTCGTCGAGCCGAACGAGCCCAACATCCCCACGCCGCACCAGGACCTCCTCGTTGGCGAGGACCTGGGGCGGCACCTCCTCGCCGAAGTGCGACGAGGTGGGGTCGCTCACGTACCACTTGTCCCCCGGGAGGCCCACGACGCCGGCGAGGTCGAAGCCGAGGATCGTGCCCAGGGCCCTGGCCTCCTCGAGGTAGCCCTGCATGTCCTCCGCCGCCACTTCGTCGAAGGCGTAGATGTTCCCAGCATGCCGTGCTGGGAACGGGCCCGACCGCCGAAGGGCCAGCACTCGAAAGGTGGCCAGGTCGACGAAGGCCACCTCCCCGTCCGGCGTGAGCCAGATCCACTTCTGGGCATCTCCCTTCACCAGCAGCACACGGTGATGCCACTGGAAGTTCTCGTCGTCCTCGTACCTGACGAGGCACTGGCTGAACGGCGTGTCCAGCGCACGGGCCATGGCGGCCCTCAATCAGCACGAGCGCCAGGAGCCCGCCGGCCACGCCCGAGAGCCGACGGCGTCGCCACGTGCGTGCCGCCGCCGTCGTCCTCGACGGCGAGGGCGCGCGCTCGCACCGCCGGCCGACCCGGCGATCCCGCCGCCAGCCAGGCCGCGGTCGCCAGCCCAGCGCCAAGGGCCACGCCCACCACGGCCGCGCCGCAGAGGTCGAGCCCCGTGTAGTGCCCAGGCGGAAGCGGGCACGGGGGGCAGGGCTGGCACGCGACCCCCTGCAGGTGCTCCGGGCCGCAGCGCGCCAGCTGCTCCCGGAGGATGGCCACCAGGCCGTCGGTCGTGTCCGAACCCTCGAACACGCAGCGGCAGGAGACCTCGGCGACCCCGCTGCGGCCAGGCCCAGTCCAGCGCTCGGAGAGCGCCCCGAGAACCCAGCCGCCTGCAGCGTGCACCCAGGCGGCCATGAACCGTTCACGGCAGAAAGGCTTGAGGGGAAGAGGCAGCGGGAGGGGAGAAAGCGAATGCACAAGCGATGAGACCAAATGCAATTTCCGCACAGTGGTCACCCAACCGGCGCGCATCGGCCTGCACACGAAGCAATGCGTCTTCAGCGCCCATTCCACGAGGGATGCTTATCAAAACGTGTTTCCCCGCCTTCATCAAGTCGAACCGCTCACCATGAAGGTTTTGAAGGTGGGGGTCGCCAGTGGCAGCCACGCCGGCGCTAGCTCCGCCCGCCATGGGAGCTGCAGGCGGAAACGTCGGATGTGGAGTCGGCCAACCAGGAGGATACGTCGGGCTAGGAGTCGGGCTGGGCGTCGGGAAGGCCGTCGGGTATGCCGTGGGGAAAAGCGTGGGGAAAGGCGTCGGGAAGGACGTCGGGAAGGCCGTCGGGAAGGGCGTCGGGAAGGGCGTCGGGAAGGGCGTCGGGAAGGCCGTCGGGAAGGGCGTCGGGAAGGGCGTCGGGAAGGGCGTCGGGAAGGGCGTCGGGAAGGGCGTCGGGAAGGCCGTCGGGAAAGAAGTCGGGAAGGGCGTCGGGTACGGCGTCGGGTACGGCGTCGGGTACGGCGTCGGGTACGGCGTCGGGCTCGGCGTCGGGCTCGGCGTCGGGTTCGGCGTCGGGTTCGGCGTCGGCTTCGGCGTCGGCTTCGGCGTCGGGTAGGGCGTCGGGTAAGGCGTCGGGTAGGGCGTGGGGTAGGGTGTCGGGTATGGCGTCGGGTAAGGCGTCGGGTAGGGCGTCGGGCTGGGCGTTGACGCTACGCCCTGGCACACCACACCGTGAATAGAATTCCCCGTTTGCCAATCGTGCCACCAACCGTCAGAAAGGTACGCAATCTTTGTCTCGCTGTAACCAGTGAGCCCGTCGTTCAGCGGACTGACGTAATCCCATGGTGTGCCGTCTCTCCACGACCAGGTGCCGGCTCCGTTGGACTCAGCGCCGATGTACGCGCTGCATCCCTGAGATTGAAGCAAGCTCAAGACCGCGTTGTTATCGGCATTGTTGTGGATACTGGCGATGGACAATCCCTGCGACTGGCAATATGCCACCTGGTTGTTGTAAGTGCGACCTGTGCAGTCGACCGTGAACGCCGATCGCTCAGCCTCCGTGCGGAGAGTCTCATGGGTGCTGATGTTCACTCCCGCGCTGATGGAAGTCGCGGTGGGTAGGCTGCAGAGAAGCGGCACCACCCAGCGCAAGGTCAGGCATGCCTTCTTGACTGCCATCCGACGGAACGGCACAAGAGGAGATTGCCTGCGTGTGCGATATACAACGTGTATGTGTATGCGGATTGCACTACAGAAGCCTGAGCCGCAATGCTTGAGCCAAAATGGCTACGGAAGGCTGGGCTTGCACTGTTGGATACCGTTCGTGCGACAATGGCATGCCGATCAGTTTCGATTCAGGTGGGAGGATCAAAGGCACGCGCACAATGCCACGGAGCCACTTCAAGAACGGCTGCCCGACTCTGCTGCTACGTTTGATTCAACCGCTCGGAGATTGGAAAGGGTCTACAGCCAACCCGCATCATAACGATGCGCAGTAAGATACAAGGGCCTTAGCAGGCCATCTCGAAGCTTTTCGAGCGGGGCGCGGCCAGCGAAAGTGGCCAAGGATGGACCGAGGAGGCAAGGATACAAGGGTATCCCTGGGAAGGTTGCCCATCCTTATCATGCGGGCTGACTGTTCTTGTCGCAAATTCTGCGCCCGCCCAGGGCGGCCCAGAAGGCTCCCGAAGGGGGCCTGGAGCCGGCCCAAGGAGGGCCCCAGTGGACGTCCGAGCGGCCCCCAGGGCGGACACACATCGCCCAAGAGGCCCCGAGAGAGGCTCAAGAGAGGCCCAACAGGGGGGGGGGGACGCGCAAGGACCCCAGGAGCCCTGCCCCGCAGGAGTGCGCCCAAGGCCCCCAAACGTGACCCCGAGAGGACCCCAAGAAGCTCCCAAGTGCCAAGCCTCCTGCGAAAAACTCGCGAGAATCCGGGTCTCCCGCAGCAGAAATCGCGAGAGCTCGGGCTTCCCGCGATAAAAAAAACGTGAGAATCCAAGCCTCCCGCGACACATTCGCGAGTCTGGGCCTCCCGCAAACAAAAATCGAGAGTCTGGGCCTTCTGCGGAAAATTGCTCTCAGAGGCCACCCCCCAGGCCTCCAAGAGGTCCCCAAGAAGCCCAGCAACAGACTCGGAGGAAGAGGAGGACGAATCAGCAACGGCTTCACGCTTGCAGCAAGACTGAAAATGGTAAACAACACACGAACTCTGAAGCCGCACATTCCCTCTTTTGGGAATCGGCGGAATGGCGTACGCCTCTTGAAGAATGATGCATCCAACGCATGACGGCATGAGCTCGACAACACGCACAACGTAAAAAGATGTAACAACCAGATCAAGGGTTCTTTCGCGACGACTTCAGCATGCCCCCCCGTCTTCCTACCTCTCCCATTTTCCGAGGAGCGGAGCGCTGCGCGGAGAAGCACTACCCTCGTGAGGACCACGGCAACCTGACGCCCATGGCACTCGGCAGTTCTCCACGCCCTGCCAGCACTGCCCGCGGAACTCTCGCCGTGGAAGATCATTCGATCAGTGGCGGAGGCCATGCAGGGTGAAACGTTCGAGACAAAGGCGCATGTGAGGGGCAACGTTAGGGGGGACCGGCTCCAGGGGGAACCATCGACCTGGAATCAGCGATACAGCGCCAATAGATCCGATAGGACCCCGAGAGTAGGAGGCCTCCTAGATGGGGTCCGAGTAGCTGGGGTCGGAGGATCTCGCCGCATCGCCGATACGTACATCGGGGATGCATCGGCGATGCATCGGTGATGCACCGGCGATGCATCGTCGACGTCGGCGATGCATCGGTGACATCGGCGTGGGGAAACACGGGCTCCACATCGAGCCGCATCGTCGATGCATCGGCGATGCGGCACGATCCTCCGACCCCACCTACTCGGACCCCAACTAGGAGGCCTGGAAATAGCAAATCCGCACGCTCAGGCACCTATCAGCGACGTTTGGTCGGCTGGGGGTCGAAGCGTCCACCACCCGATATGGGCGTCGCGCCAGGAGGGGGGGTGAGAAGGGGCGGGCCGTCTCAGAGGGCTCGGAAGTCCCCCAGCCTTCTGAGAAGTTTGCTTAGCCTTCCCTAGAGGCCTCCTGGATGGGGTCGGAGTAATTAGATGGGGTCGGAGTCGCATCGCCGATACATCGGCGATGCATTGGCGATGCATCGGCGATGCATCGGCGCCGTCGAGCTCCAAATCGAGCCGCATCGCCGATGCATCGGCGATGCGGCGCACTCCTTCGACCCCGTCTAATCGGACCCCATCTGGGATGGCCCAGATTCCCCGAAGACGCGGCGCAACCTCCTCGGAGGGCGCGAGGGCCTCTGAGAGGCCCCGCCGCCTTCCGAGAAGGCCTTCTCCTTCTCACTTCCCCCCCCTCCTCCTCCTCCTTCCTCCTACTCCTTCCTCCTCCTCCTCCTCCTCGCCGCCGACGACAGGCACCAGGAGAAGCGACACCACCACCACCACACCACCACCACCACCACCACCACCACCACCACCACCACCACCACCACCACCACCACCACCACCACCACCACCACCACCACCACCACCACCACCACCACCACCACCACCACCACCACCACCACCACCACCACCACCACCAGGGACCACCAGGGACCACCAGCAGGAGCTGGGCGGGCCCCCCTGGCCGTGCGGCCTCCCCCCCCCTCTCGCTCGAGACTTCCCAAACCCGGTGCCCCCGGCTGGTGGAAGGCCTCGCGAGCCTCCTCGCTGGAGCTGGCCCGCCTGCTGGTCCTCCTCCTCCTCCTCCTCCTCCTCCTCCTCCTCCTTCTCAAGCAACTTGGGCTCGAGCGCCATTTTGGCATCCGACGCCCAACCTCGCGCCTCCACGTGGTGCTTGGGGGGCTGCGCACCTTCTGTCCACCCTTTCGGACGGCCAGTTGCGTAGGCGAAAGCGAGGCTTCGCCCGTAGACCCATGGCCAAGGCATGGAGTACATGTGCGAAGTGTGTGGCGTACGAGTACAATGAGAGGATAGTGGCCAACTCGGGGAAGTGCACCAAGTGCCATTGTCCAGTCAAGCTGTATAAGCCGAAGAAAGGTCTTGCATCCTCGTCCACTCAGCCAACGTTGCAGAACGTTAAGGGGTCGGTCGGGTCTCAGGCGACTTCGGCTACATCCACCATCCAAGCGCTGTCCGCCGCGATGGCCGGAGTGACCGACCCAGCCAGTCGCAAGGTGCTCGCCGAGCAGATCGAGGTTGCGGAGCGCGGGGCCCAGGCGGCAGAGCAGCCGCTCACGGTCTCGCCGAGTGAGGCAGTTCGACGTGCCGAGGGCGCGTGGAAGGACGCAAAGCAGAAGCACGTGCAAGCGAGTGCAGCCGTCTCCCGCTGCCAGGAGAATCTGGTGGCAGCGATGAGGAAGGAGGAGGAGGCGGCGCGCACGCTGGCCATGGCAGAGATCAGCAAGCGCACGGCCGCGGTGGCCCTGGCTCGCGAGGCGGGCGTGGACGTGCACGCCGCGGGCGGCGCTGGCGGCGGCGGCACCTCTGGCGGAGGAGGCGCCGACGTCGAACAGGCGCCGATGATGAACGTCACGTGGGATGAGGAGTTTTTCAAGCAGCTCGACACCCTCGAGTGCACGGAGGGCGAGAGAGCTGAACTCAAAAAGGTTGAGGCGGAGCTGAAGGCGGTCAGGGACAGCGTCATCAGCAAAGCCGACGAGGTGCAAAAGTGGAAGACCCAGGTGCTCGACCTCAGGGCGAAGGTCAAGGAGCGCTTGGACAAGAAGAGGAATATCGACGGCGGCATCAGCGGCGCCGCCGTGGGCGGCGCGGGAGGCGGCGGCGGCCAAGGGCAGCCAGTCGCTGCTGCGGCCCAGCCAGCAGCCCAGGGGGCTCGGCCTGGCACGCCGTCCGAGGACGAGATCAATATCGAGATGGAGCGCATCAGGGCGGCTACTGCGGCTACTGCAGCTGCTAAGGCGGCCGCCCAGGGGGCTGCTGGTTTGGCTCCAGAGGCGGGCAAGGCGGAGGCGCCGCAATGAGGCGGCGCGGCGGCTGCAGGTCTTTCGGCGCCTGCTGCCACCCAACCGCTCGAGCCGTTCGCGGAGGAGCAGTCCACCAGCGAGGACGACCCTTCCGCGTGCATGTTCTTCAGCAACGTCACCATGCTGGGCAACAAAACCTGGAACTATGTCAGTTCCGAGGCTACGTTGGCCAAGTACGAGTACATCGGCATGGTGGAGTCTCACATCGGGGCCCACACCAGGGCCAAGTGGGCTCGTCGAGCTCGGGCTGCCAAGCTCAAGTTCCTTGACAATCCAGCGAGATCAACTGGTCGAGGCACCTCGAAGGCGACGGAGGGGCGCGCGTACGAGGGCGGGGAGATCATGTTGGCTCGTGGTCATCTGTATGTTCATCGAGTTTTTGACAAGCCGCGTGAGGGCGCCAGCAGTTACTGTGCCGAGGGCTCAGACGCTCTCGATGGTTTCGTGCCAATTCTAATGCATCTGTGTGGCTTCTCGCTGCTTGTGGTACTGTTTTACGTACATCCGTCAGTTGAATTCTCGGGTATTAACCCAGCTAGCTTTACCAAGTTGGGAGCATTTTTGTCTTCTGCGAAGCTTCCGTGGCTCGTCATAGGTGATTATAACATCGATGTTGCAAAGTTTCAGAGGTCAGCGTTTTGTCGCCGCGTCGGAGGCGTGATTCGTCGGGCTGATGTGGAATGCACATTCGTCGGGGGTGCAGGTAGTTCTCACATCGATTTCGTCATGGCGTCTGAGTGCTGTCTTCCTTACATTCGCAGTATCACCCCAGTAGTTGACACGCCATGGGCTCCTCACATTGGGCTTGAGCTACGACTGAGAGGCTCAGGCGAACAGTTGCTAAGCAGATCGTTGCTTGTCGCTCCCAGGTTGCCGCAAGTGCCTAGGCCGTCTGCTGCGCCCACTGCTGGGCCCAAGTCGAGCGCGAAGAAGCTCGAGCAGGCCGAGCGAGCCCAGAAAAAGAACGAGCGTCTGATTAGTGAATGTGATCTGCTGTACGGTGACATTTTCGGCAACACGTCTTCCCCCGAGCCTCTCGACCCTAGTGATCTCGACCCTTCGGCTAGCGGCCCCGTGGGCTTTTCGTGGCAGGTCGATCCTCTTGGGGAAGAAGGCTTCGAGGGGCTTTTTGAGGCTGATGAGGAGGACCCCTGGGCCAACGAGTCCTCTTTTCAGCCTGCACCTAGGGTCTCTGAATCTCTAAGCAGCCCTCCTGCAGGCGCGCCCGAGGCGACACAGGCTTCGTCGGCGGCGTCTGGGGGTGCAGCAGCAATTCGG